GCATTGATTGCTCCACCTTGGTGGAGGATTGATTGTCAGCTTGCCGTGTCCCTCTCCTTCCTCTCAGATCTGGAGGCCAGATCTGCCAGATAGTGCTATGCCACCTAGAAAGAGTTCATCCTTTGTCCCTGTTGGCCTGTGTCCCCCCCCTTCATCTGCCCTGCCCATGAGGCGTGATATCCCTTTTCCCGTTTTATCTGTCCCCTACTTTTTTTTTAATTTCTAAAAACCCTAAACCCTAAACCCTCAACCTGTGAACCTGTACTCCAGCCACCCTTTGAGTCCGCCCTTTCCCTTTGTTCTGGTCTATTAAGTGCCGTCCCTCCAAGTCTGTGCTATCAATCGATCGCTGTGGCAGTTTAGTCTTGTCGAACTCCCGTGGAAGTCTAATCTGTTTGTGTTTTGCTCGTCCACAGATATCTGTTATCGATAGCCTCTTCCTGAGTTTGAGATGTGCCAGTCTTTCCGGCAGATGCTGATGTGCCGTGTTCAAGAAGTGATTGATGCAACCGCCTTTATCTTCTGTTGGTAACTCCTTTCTGGCACTGAGTTATGCCTCTCTTTCCAGGAGATACTGTCCTCTCATCTCTCTGCAGTCTTGCCTTTTACACCACCAATTCTTGTACAGCCTCAGTCTCTCATTTTTTCGCTGTTCCTTGTCTTCTGTCAAGGTTTGCTTGATCTTCCGCCATCTGTAAAGCTTCTCGGCTTGTAACAACATTCTGGTTTCCACCCAACCTGTCTTTGAATTGGTCTGCTGCCTCTCTCTTTCCATACGGCCCGTACTGGCACTTCCTGATGTGTCCGATACCGACCTTATCCGCCTTCCGAGCCTGATTGGGGGTGTTAGTTGAGAGGGGGAGTTGGGTGGGTTGCTCAGTGAAGGGGGGTTAATGGGTGAGAGTCTCAGAGTGTCGACGCTCTCGTCCGGAAATCTGTCGCCTCTTGTCTGAATGGGGGGTGTTAGTCTATGGGGAATCTGAGAGGGTTGTTCAGGGGAGGAGGTTGAGAATGGTGTGTTTCAGATAGGTGTGCCTCTTACTCTGCGTTCTGTCTCCTTTTTACCGTGTATTTTGTAGTGAGCTGTATCTCCTTCCGCATTTTTGGAGCCAAGTATGCCTGTTTCCCGATTGTTGTGCTCCATATTTCCGTCTGTTGTTTGGTGCAGGGTTCACTTGAATGCTTGCATTGGTCTTTTACCGTTGCAGGTTTCTGCTTTTCAGAGGAAGAATGTGTCTCGGGCGTGCCTTTTTATCCTCTAATCCCAATTTACGAAGCGTAAGCTCCCCCCTTCTGTTTTGGCGATTTTGCCTCCCAACAGCCAGTTTTGTTCGAATCTTTTCTGGCTCGACTCCCTCTTGTCTGGTTGTATTATCCTCTGTTGGTCTTTCTGTTCTCTGGACCAGCGGGCTCTTATTTCTGTTTGTATTATTTGTTTTGTTTCTGTCCATCTCTCTTCTATGCTTGGTAACTGGCCTTCTAAGGTACCCTTGCATCTTGCCTTCCAGTTTATCCAAAGCGCTGCTCTCCTCCATAGATCGGCCACGCTTGTTGATTCTTCTTTTGCTTCTTCACTTTCCAATCTACCTGTTAGGAGGTATAACGGGCTGTTGGGGAAATCATGTTCTGTTAGTTTATTCCAGAGGATTCTAGTTCTATTCCATATCTCTTGTGCTTGTCGGCAGGTTATTAAACAGTGGACCAGGGATTCCTCGGTTCTGTCATCGCAAACCATGCACAGTGCGCTTTGTTGTTGGGAGTCTTCCTGTTTCCTCCTTTTGGCTAGCCATTGGTTGACTGGTAGAGCCCAGTAAAGAATCAGCCACTGTAGACTTCTGATTCTTGCTGGTCTGATGTTTGTGTATTGGCGCCGTGGGATTTTATTAACCCATCCTGCATTTTCGCCGAGGTTCTTTTTCCATCTTGCTGAGATTACTGGTTGAGGGTCCTTTGTGCGGTTGCCTAGTTTGTAACCTATTTTGACTTTATACTCGTAAATTGGGATGAGCTTTTTGGCTCTCCCCGAGCCGCTAGGGACCATCCATCCCCATTCAGCTGGGTCCACCTCCAGGTCCTTAATGTCCAACTCTGGTCTAAAAAGTCTGACTTTGTTTGGCTCTGGTTGGCAGGGAGGGCTGTGTTTAGTACCAAACTTGAGTATGCATGCGCGTACTCTTTTGAGTGTGCTAAGATAATGTGTTGACCTTGCTTCTAGTGTTTTTGCTGGTTTTACCCACGATTTGTGCGTCTCCTCCAGCTCATATACAGCAAAGTCAGCCTTCCCTTCTTCCTTATCTGTGACCTGGATCAGTTTGTAGGCGACAGTCGGTCGGTCTGCCTCCTGTTTTGTGGCCCAATCCCCTATTGACCACTTAGCCTTGCTTTTCAGAAGGAGCTCCCATTTGAGCGGGATGCTTTCTATGAGTTTGTGCAGGTGTTCCTTTAGCTTGTGAATCCCTTTGAGCTTGGATCTGAGTTCATGTTCGGTGGTCCATCTGTTTTCGTCCGGGTTCCATATGTGCTCTATTTTCCACACTCCTTTGCTCATCCATTTTCTCCACTGTCTGCCTTTCGTGTTCAGGGCCCATACTCTGCCATTGTGGTCTGTCAGCAGGGGATTCCCGAAAAGYGGTTGTCTCAGAACTTCCTCTCTTATTCTTGGGGTTCTTAACTTTTGCGGAAAGCAGTTTCTCCAGTGCTTTATTAGTGTGATCCAATGTTCGCTCGGTGGGTCCTTGTCTYTCGATATTCCTCCCCTTTCCATCCTTCTTGGTGTCCAYGAAGGGTTGARAATCCAATGGTATCCCTCTATGGAGGGGTCAACTCTGAACGGCACTAGGTTACGAATCTGCTGGAGAGCCATTTCGTGCCAAGGCAGTTCCCTATTGAAAAGGATTTTTATTATCCACTTGTGTTGCAGAGCTTGGAATTGTACTGCGGGATTCAGGAGTCCTAATCCTCCTTGGACTTTGGGTCTGGTGATGTACTTCCCACACCTCACTTTACCCTTTACAAGCTATGTCTTTTTTGGTCAGGTACAGCCAAAATGAGGCTGCGTTGTGTTCAGGAGGGAAGACAGTAGTCTTACCCCAGTCTGTGTTGCGTAACTGTAATCTATGCAGACCTAACCTCCTCCTCCCTCTACCCAGATTGACCCAGACCTCCAAGGCAGACGGCATGTTGACACGCAGGGGTAGTCATCATGCAATGTGCAAGAGATGTTGCTGATGAGGCAAGCACTCTTCTTTGGGTTGGGTGCTTTCGGAACGAAGTCACTGATCTTGTCTCGTCTCGCCACTTCCCATTCTTTTTTTTGGATGCAGTTAGTGAGTGGATCAACTGTTGAGATTGGCCTTCGCTTGTAGTCTCTGAAGCTCCTCTTCGACCAAACTATGGCAATGGCGATCCTGCTGATTGATTGACCAATGAATTTGGAACTTCCAACTCTTAAGCCGTTTCCAGCATATAGCGAAGTGATTGAACTCTCATGTTGCCATGAGAGGGACCCATCTTGAGCCCACACAATAAATCCAAGAACTCCAATACGTGTGACTGTGACACTTACAGATGTGACAGTTGCAGGCGTACCAGCTCCCCGGTTGACGGCAGTTTTGCCTTATTAGTGCGTTATAGCCTTCCACAATGGGGGTAGGATAGACTCTGGCCAGACTTGTGGCGCAAACTCGCTGTCGATTTGGCTGCTATGTTTCTAGTGGTTTGCTTTACAGAGACGAGAAGATAAAAAGTGAAAAAAAAAAAATGTTGTTTCCAAAAAAGACTTCCCGGGCATCCATTGTATGTCAACTAACATACACCATTACTCTGGCCAGTACACGCCCCAGTGTTGCAAGATATCTTCATGGCTCAATCCTAAAGTTTGAGAGTCTCGGGCCTACCCGGGGACCACAATGGTTGGCAGCGCCAGCCAAAAAAGGAAAAAAAACTGCGCTGCTGGCAGTTCGGCAAAGCTCGGTGCACAGTGCTTCGCTGCCACGCCCGGGTATACTCGTGGTTTAAGTTCACAGCCTCACAGGTCTTTTCATCAGGCTTTTTTTTTTTATCGAGGCTTCGCGAGTTCAAACCTCGACAATCTGTCCAGGAAGGATGCCTTCGACTGACGTATTAGGAAACACAGCCGCAAGTTCCCCAACTACACTTAAGCCACCACTCCATCCGGACGACTTATTTTTTGACTGACCAAAAGTTGCATCTCCCTGAGGCCTGAATGAGGCTAAATCTACAGTGCCGCCGTGAGGAAAAGGAATTGGTGCTGCACCTGAAGGCCCCTAGTGGGGTTAACTTTGAAGAAAGACTCAGGGGGTGGAATGCGGCATGCCCATTCATAGTGGGAGAGGCATAGTACTGCCTTGCGTTGTCCTTTGAAGATTGGAGGTGGGCTCCGATGGTCCGCCATAGCCACCAGCTCGACTGACAGGTAGAGGGAGGTGTAGGTTGGCTATGGTGGTCATTATCTACAGTGGCCGGCAGTAACGGGAGGATTCAAACATTGATTCTGGTTCAATCGTTCATTGTTTTTTATATTATCATTATTAAGAAGATGGTGGGGGAGTTGATGAAGGAGAGAGATGGTGGCAAGACGAGGGAGGAGTGACATTGGCTCCAGCTTGTGTTCATCTTCTTCTTCTTCTTCTTCTTCTTCTTCTTCTTCTTCTTCTTCTTCTTCTTTGATTCCCTATTCTTCTTCTTAGTCTGTCTAATTCTCTTCCCAATCTCGTTCATTTTAGTTGCAATTGAATGGCATTGTCTCTTTTTGAGGTTTGCACTGAGGATTGTTTGCAACACTGTTAATATCTTGTGTACATAGGATACGAGGACCTGGGAGAGCTAGGGGGGGAGGAGGGGAGTTCACAGCCGCTAAGAGTGGGATGGGCAGGGAACAGAACATCCTGAGCAGGACGACAATATAAATAACAAACAGAATACCGGAAAATACCAAGGTTATGATGGGGAGGGGGATATGAATCTTGTGGAGTCGATACTGGGGACGACAGATAAAGGGGAACAAACACACAAACCCGAGAAGTACTGTCTTGTGTTGTGACAGCACAGCTGCTAATTGCAACATTCACTTCCAGTCTTCCAGGGTGTGTGCCAGGGACATGTCGAGCAGTAATCGTTTCTACTTTTCCTATCCTTTTTTCTTTCTTTTTCTTCCTCTCTTCTCTTTTTCAAAAGAGCGACGGCCTTGAGGTATGATCGTTGAACTGACTGGCCGTCGGAATAATTCGGAGTTATTTTATTGTGTTTATGTCACTTTATGACAGTTTATCTGCATGCATCTGGATTTGAACTTGGGTCTGAGTGTACCAACTGAGCTAGGCTTTCATGGTGATCATTTTGTTTTGTTGCAGATGATGTTTTGGGATATAAGGGCAAAGAGAGAGGGGAAAAGGCTGAGCGTTCCGGAGAGCCCGAAAGAGGGCGCAGAGTTCATTTGGATGCCAATTTTCCAAGCGAAACTGTTCGGCTCCGATGCTCGTACACTGCTGGGAGCGCTTCGGATCTGCCTAACACCTTTCAAATCAGGCAGTACCAATTTCTTCTGCTCAACAGAGGTCAGCAGCCTAGGGCAACTTTTCCACTACAGGAGCAACAAAAACCGGATAGGCGGACACCACTTTGAAGTTTGAATTCAATTGTCTGGGAATGAACTCCTTGGTTTTCGATCTGGGAATTATTTCCTGGGTCCGAACCTTGGAATTCTTTGCGTTCCGAGAGAAGTTTCAGTGAGTCGACACTCATGAATCCCGTCCACATCATCCCCCATAGTTGACTGTTGCGGTAAGATACACTCGCCGTTTTCACTGGTGAATCTCGTCCTCGTTCCACTTCTCTCCACATGTGAAAACGGCGAGTGTATCTTACAGGAAAAGGTCAAAAATGGCAAGCGGTGGAGTGAGACTCCTTCGCTTCAAGTATTGCTGTGTGTTTTGACTCTTCTTCTTTTGAGTACTGCAGCTACTACTGCTTGAGTATGCTTGAACTTATCCCTGGTCACTCTCGGACACAGTCCTGCCCTGCATTCCCATCAAGGCGTATATATGAGTTTCACCCACCCCATGTGGATGAAATGGTGCACACACACACACACACACACACACACACACACACACACACACACACACACACACACACATGTTACTGCTACTACCTTCTTCACCCGAATAGAACGTAGGGTGATTATAGCTGTATGTATTTGGGGTATCTTTCTAAATACAGCAATAATGACCGTACGTTGTATTTGGGTGACGAAGGTAGTAAACAGATCATGAGTTCGAATCCTGATGGAATCAGCTCAATACACACACTAATGGCCAGGGCTACCGTGCCGCTACATCCGCTAATCAATAGGCGTACACGAGTTTACTTCCTTCTGGATTGAGTTTGCAATGCCCTGAGAGGAGGAGCTAGAGAGTTTTGTGTACATGAAGGGTCAAGATTCTGGTTATCTTTTGTGCCACAGGGTGCAGCCACCGCAGCGTATATGTGCATCCATGTTTTAGGGCACACAAGAATACTCTCCTGGGTGTGTCTGATCGTCATTATGACCGGTGGAAATTTTTAATTTTCCCAGAGAGTACGCTATCTCAGCACTGATCAGCAATCTCCAAGGCGTTAAGCAAAATTTTAAAATTTTTAATTAATAGTATTTAATTATTTATTAGTAATTTAATAGTACTGTTCGCTTCTCCCTCACCATTGGTTTTCACTTACTGCAGTGATTACTCTAATTTGAGTACTTATAGCACTTATGTCCAACACGATTAATTAATCAAAAAGATTCAAAAATTTTAAATTAATGAATTGAATACTGATCGCTTCTCCCTCACCACCATCATCTTCCTGCAGACCTGAGCCCAAATCCTAATGGAATGGGATAAGAAAAACAACTCGAAAAGAAACCCGGGGCTGCTACTGAAAGGCCTTCCACCATTCAGACCCCAAATTCGGGTCTCAGGGCCCTGGCCAAGAAAGGCCGAGTCAGCCAGTTTCAGAAAAGTCACAGTCGGGTACCTTAGTAGTCAAGTCCCTAGGCAAGAGTTGGGTCCCAGAGGCAAGAGTCACAGTCCACGGTCAACACCATGTGTCAAATCGAAAAATTGTGATTCAAAGGCTCAAGCAGCAGCACACCAATGGAAATTCGGGAAGGTTCCAGGCCCTGACATTCGAAAGCAGACAGGCTGTGGGGATGTGGTGCCGGAACCAAGTTAAGCCCCAGGAAGCAGAGGCTGGCACGAGTTGAAGTGAAATCCAAGACTTTATAAGGACTGGCCAGCCTCCCCATTCGGCAGATAGCTCATTCGCATGAAGTGTGGAAGTGCTGGTGCGCTTGTGCGCTATTGTGAGGGGCAGAGTGCTGAAGCCAGAGTGCTGCGCTGGGAGAGAGAGAGAGAGAGAGAGAGAGAGAGAGAGAGAGAGAGAGAGANAGAGAGAGAGAGAGAGAGAGAGAGAGAGAGAGAGAGAGAGAGAGAGAGAGAGAGAGAGAGAGAGAGAGAGACATAGCTGCACCAGTGCAGAGTGTTAGCAGTTAGTAGTAGACTTCAGAGGGGTTAGTAGGCATAGCAGTGGGTGTATTCAGAGTTGGTTCTTGAGTGGTAGAGAGAGTGTGAGTGCCTACAGCTAGGGAGAGAAGATACAGGGAGGTAGAAGACAGAGAGAAGACCAAGAGAAGAGAGAAGAGCTTCGGGAGAGATACATACCTGAGTGGAGATACTGGATACTTGGGTTTGCGCTCTTGAGCGCCCGTGACTGAAACTCTTAATTGTTTATATGATAATTTGTTGGAATTCTAAAGCTGCGCTACCTGGTCTTCATCTCTCTGGCCTCCAGTGTGAACTTCGCGTGATCTCATACATGCATGTGGTGTGATTGTGGGCACTCACTGGTGTGGAACTGAGAGGTTTGTTGCACTACCTTCTTCCCCCAAATACTACGTACGGTCATTATAGCTGTATCTAGACTGAAAGGTGCCTCAAATAGAGCTATAATGAGTACGTTGTATTCGGGGGAAGAAGGTAGTCAATATCTCAAGGCCGTTGCGCTTTGATAAAAAAAGAAACATAGTGGAAGATGATGCCTTTCGCCGGTACCTTTTTAAGGCTGACGTCCACAACTAATGTCTCACCATCCAGGTAAGTCGTGACGATCCTCCTGTATGCTGAGTTTATTTTTTCCCGCAGAGCATTGCTGCTCCTCCAAGCTGGTGCTGCTCTCAAGCTGCAGTTATGACCAGCAGATCCGAGTGCTGTTAGCACCTTCAGCGCTCCCAGCAAGCACTTTGAAGTTTAAACAACACCACTTCCTTTCCCAGACAACGTCGGGAATCGGAAATGTAACACTCTGGTGGGTTCTTCAGAGAGAGCCTTGGAGCTACGGGACGCCGATGGCTGGAAGCACCAGCCAAAGGGGAAAAAGAAACACCGCACCATTGCTTTGGCAAAGCTTGGTGCGGGAGTAAATCCGCCTCGGCAAAAGAGGTTCGAGGCAGTGGTCGTTTAAGTGAAGCACTAGAAAAGAGAGTGATTGCTGGCCAACTCCTTGCCATCACATATTCCATGGCTGCACCGCCACCAATTGCCGCCCTCCTCGCCCTCTACCTTCTTCTCCCGATCGCAAAGCCCAGTCATTATATCTGTAATTGGGGTGAGAGTTACACTAAATACAGCTAGAATGACCAGGTGCTGTGTTCAGAGGAATACAGTAGTCTTAGTTCCATGCCAAAGGCTGAGGTCAGGTGTTGAGGGCAGACCTTTCTACTCTGCTCTAGGGCGGTAGCCCTGGGCCTACCGTCTGTTACCCTGAGGTCCTTGTAGGCCTACCAGTGCAGGTTTTGTTGGACCTAATCAATGCGTAAACCCAACCTTAGACCTGGACATTTTCAATATCTATCTGTAGATTCTGTACAAGATCAAAAATCAATCAGATAGATATGGAAGGATTCACGGCTCTCAGTACCTCGAGTTCCAGTCCTGAGTCCCATTCTAGAGTCCCACGCAAGTCCCAGTCTCGAGTTTCAGTCCCGAGTCCCAGTCCCGACTCCCTTTCCATGTTCCGTTGGCGGCCCTAGCCGCATGTACAAGGTTTACAAAGGCCTAGGTAGGCTAGTTAAGTAGGCAGTGGTGGGAAGTCCCAGCAGGACAACAGTTATGGGCCAATACTCAATAGTCTCTTTTCAGGTAGGCACACCATGTTGCAGCTGAGACAGCAGCTGTAGTTTGGCCAAGGGTCAGTCAGTCCTGTCAAGCAGTCAGATCCAAGGGAAATCCGTGAACTTCTGGAAACAGTACACAGTAGCAAGGGAACCAACCCATAACCAGCAGGATAAGTTTGGAAGGCAGAGGAGCCAGTAGAAAGGTCCAGCAGCGCTTGGACTCAAGGACAGGTGCTTCGCACTCAATGAGGAAACACTGCTGCGGTCTTGCGTGTTGGAGAGGCGACTGAATGAGCGAGAGTGAGCACAAGGCAGTGTAGTCAACGGCGTTGGGCACCTTGCCATAGTGGTAGTATGAGAGAGAGGGAGAGGAAGACATCCTGGGAGATGAGTGAGGACTGTGAGGTTGAGAGCAGCCTAGAGAGAGAGAGAGAGAGAGAGAGAGAGAGAGAGAGAGAGAGAGAGAGAGAGAGAGAGAGAGAGAGAGAGAGAGAGAGAGAGAGAGAGAGAGAGGAAGTAGAGAGATGCTTACCTGCATATTGGGGCGGACATAGCTGCTGGTGACGAAGAAGACAACTAAGTTTGGTGTTGGCTACCGAGACTATTTTCGGACTGCGTATTCTCCTGCCTGTTTCATGTGCGTGCGATGTGACACAAGACTGTGCTCAACTGTTCCATGCAAGGTGGTCTCATTGCA